CCCCCCTCAGGCCCCGCCACCGGGTCTGGAGGGTGCTGCGGCTCCTCCTGGGCCCCCAGTGAATGGTGTGGAAGAGTCTGTCCCTGCGGAAGGGTGGTGGGTTCCTGGCATCCAGGGTCCTGAGCTCTCCGGCTCCCCACAGGCGCTTCCCGTGAAGGTGACCGCTGGCAAGCTGCGGCTGGAGGACAGGCAGCGCCTGGAGCAGGAGCAGCAAAGCGAGGAGAAGCGTCTGGCTATCATGATGATGAAGAAAAGGGAAAAATATCTCTACAAGAAGATCATGTTTGGCAAGAAGCGCAAAGTCCGAGAGGTAAGAGCATAGGGCTGCTGTGGGCCAAGGACCCTTGCCTGAATCCTGGTGAGCTTGCAGCTACGCATTGCTAAAGCTGTGTCTTTCCCCATCTGGGGGAAGGGAGCAGCCCCTACTGCTGATACTGTGCTAGCTCTGGGCTGCTCCTTCCGCTCCTCTGGGTTACCTGGTGAGGGCATTGAGCAAAGGTGGCCAAGGGTGAGGCTCTACAAACCTCTTCCCCAGCATTGCAAGGCCACTGTCTCTCAACCCTGGCAGGGCAGAGCTCCTCGTGTTCCCTCAAGGCCGTGGCTCATACTCAGCAAATGAAGCTGCTGCCGCTCTCTGTGCCCCATGCCTACCCGGGTGCCAGCAGCAGATGGGTCCATCCCTCCCATGTACAGCTGGAGGGTTTGGTGGGACTGAGGGTAGAGGAGTCCTCAGTGTCTGCAGACCAGTCTGACTGTGGGTCTCGGGGGCTTCTCCACAGGCAAACAAACTCGCTGCGAAGAGGAAAGCCCACGACACTGCCGTGAAAGAGGAGAAAAAGAAAAGCAAGAAGGCGCGACGAGCGTGACGGGGCCTGAGGGCTCGCCAAGGGGGCTGGCTCAATAGCTGCGCCCTGCAGATACCATCACATTTGGGTGAAAAACTCTCAGCTTTGCCCTTGGGACAGAAATGCTAAATTAAAACTTTCCCCATCTGTAAATACACCTCCCACTGTGCCTTTCCCTGGGCTCCCTTGGCGCCCCTCCGCTGGTGCCACTACCTGTCCTGGCCTGGGCTGCAGGATCAGCATCATGAGGACTGTCCTCTTCATGCTGGTGCCACCTCTGCTACCTGACCTGCAGGGCTGGTGAGCGAGGAAGAGGAGGCCAAGGAGAGCTCTGGGCTCTTGCAGGTCCCTCCAGAGTTGTTCCTTTTGAATTTGCCAAGCCCCCATGGCAGAGCAGGAGCTCTCCAGGGCTGCCTGGCATTGTGGTGTGTTTTGGAGGCTTGGCACAAAGAGCAGGGCTTTGCCCCAGCTTTGGCAGAGAGGAGTCCACAGCAGAGGGGAGCTGGTCCTGTGCCCAGCCCAGAGCTGCCCTCCAGCATCCATGTGGTAGGCCGTACTTCTCTTGTATTTTTAATTAAAGAAGATGATGCTTTCTTGGTGCTGTGTGTTGTCTGTTCCCTCCTGGCCATGGTGGGGGGGTGCAACCGCTGCACTCGGTGCTCTGCCCGGTCGTGGCCATGGCAGAGGAGGCGCGGATCAGTTCATCCAAGACGGATGTGGGGCTGGAGGTGGCTCCTCATCCTGTACCGCATGAGTAGGTACATGTGCTGGGAGATGGAGCAGAAGGGACAGAGCCTGGTCCCTGCTCCAGGTACCACAGCCCCTGGGCACCGTGGCCATACCTTACTCCTTGTCACCCTCGGCCAGTCCTTGTTCCCAGCAGGAGGTTTGGGTAGGGTCTGCTCCTTCCCGGCTGGGTGCTGAGAGCCAACTCTGGGTCCATTTTGTTCAACTAGGGGAGGTGTGAAGTCCTTGCCCCTGGGGAGGAGCGGCACCAGGGCGTGCTGGGGGCCACCAAGCTGGAAAAGCAGCTCTGTAGAACAGGAGCTGGAGGTCCTGTTGGGGACCAACTTGACTACGAGCTACCAACGTGCCCTTGGGGCAACGAGGGCTAATGGTGCTGTGTGGGGAGTGTTGGAGGAGGTTGAGGGAGGTCATCCTGCCCCTTGGTGCTGGTGAGGTCACTCGTGGGGCACTGTGTCCAGTGATGGGCTCCCCGGTGCAAGAGAGATGGATGTGCTGAAGCATGTCCAGTGAAGGGCCACCAAGATGATGCAGGGACTGGAGCATCTGTCCTAGGAGGAAAGGCTGCGAGAGCTGGGACTGGAGAAGGCAAGGTTCAGGGAGATCTTGTCAGTGGGTATAAATACCTGAGGGGAGGGTGTGAAGATGGAGCCAGGTTCTTCTCGGTGGTGTCCAATGCCAGGACACGAGGCGACGGGCACAAACTGAAACCCAGGAGGTTCTTCTGAATACCAAGAAACACTTCTTCACCGTGAAGGTGACCAAACGCTGGCACAAGGTTGCCCAGGGAGGCAGCGGAGTCTCCGTCCATGGAGATACCATGACGGGGAGGTTGGACCCCACTGGGACGCTGTTGGGTTGCCTGCAAAGGGACGAGGCAAAGGTTTTTGAGGGCTCGCTATCCCTCTCGCACCCTCCTCCAGCAAGGCGGGGTGTGATTTTTTTGGGTGAAGGAGAGGTTATTTTGGGGCTCTTGGCTGAGATAAAGCAACGCATGGATGGACTAGGGCCGCCACGGCCGATGCCAGGACCGCCGACCCTCCAGATGCACCCCCCATCGGCGGTGTTATTCCCCCCCCGCCCTCTTCCCCTAAATCCCGTCTTTTCCCTCCAAAACGCCCACGGCCACGCGCGTCTCCTCCCTGGGGCCTACGCGCGGCCCCGGGGCCTGTTCACAGCTGTCCTCCTCCTGGGGAGAGAAGGAGGGTAATGCTCTGTTTTGTGAGAGATTTATGGGGTTTTTTTTCCCTTTTCTGGCTCCTTTTGGACGTTGGGAAGGAGTGTCCCAGGGTGGGGTGGCCCCTGGTGGGTTTTTTGTAGGGTTTTGGCGAGTGTGGGCCTGT